GTAATTACACAACATACTGTAGCTGTGAACAGAATCCGCTTCTAGCTACGGGATACCCGTGGAGCTTTCGTCAACATTTAGGTGTTGAAGCACTCTTAAATTCTAATCACTTCAGCATGAGGCTTAACAGTAGCACTCAGTGTTTTTGAGGTTGATTTCACTTAACTTCACTCTAATAATTTTACATTTTGTTGCAGCCACAGACCAAATGTGTTTTGGCGATGTCCAGTACGAAAGGCAGAAGCTGCTAAATGCAAGAGAGTGGTATTCTTACTTGTGTTGCTGCAATCATCGACCATTTTGTAATTACGACGTAAGCATTTGCGAGCGACAAAAATAACAATTGTGCACTTACAATGTCTTTTTTTCTTGTAGAGGAAAAACTGAAACAGTTGAGGTAATTTACACGGAAATCCTTTGGCCTCTGTTTTTTTTTTTTGTTGGCCGGTGGTTCTCCAAAAGACATTATGAACTAGCTTCAAGGAAACAGTTTCAAGGAAGCAATTCGATATTAATATTCATATTGAAAAAATCTTCTTTACGATTGATTTTTTCAAAGTGTGGGATACAGTCTCTTTGGATAAGCTAATAATGTTGCACACTGGAGATTTGTAAAGTTTCAGCTTTTTCACCTTATTATTCTGGAGTGTCTTATTTTAGCCAGCTCTGAGGAAAAAAGTTGAGAAGGTACTGCGGTACTGCAAATATAATAGTGGAAATCAGTTCCTGTTCAATGATTTATACTTAGTCGTTCGTGAGATCGGAGAAGCCTGTCTGTTACATTACATCGACAACACGACTCTGCAGGACATGGATTCACGGCTGCCCAAGCGGGGCACTGTTTTATATCAACAACCAGGTCAGCTGCAACCGTTTGTTGAACGACCACTTTGAATAAAAATACTCCTATAAACTAGTCTGCAAACATTTAGTATTTCTTAACCGAAATTAGCTTGTCTGGCGTCAGGATGGTGAGCAGACTGACCATTTAGGTGCGTGACACTGCACAACGCGTCTAGGATAGTTACTAGTCCCATTTCACAAATTTTATCCCGGGGCTATCCTTTGGACATCCTATCTTCTTTAGAGTAACGGAATCTTTTCTGAGTTGTGATCATCCAGGTGTAAAAGTACGTTCCTCCGTTTTTCGTTCACCTAGTAGCTTTTATCAATCTTTGTGAACCTTGCGCCGTTCTTCTGTCGAGCTTCGGCTCCCTAAAACCTGCCAACATTTTCTCCTTTCTCTTTCTGATTCCTTTTTGCTGCTGCGATTAGTATTATGTGATATTATTTATAAAAACATATGTGAACCAGTTACTCTACTTTATAAACACACGTCCAGACTTGCTAGTCTAGGCATCAAATATTAAGTTGGCTTGGTGCAGAGTGATTGTCATTTTTATTTCTTATCTATTTTGGAATATCACTTCTGCAGTGATTTTCATTTATTTACTACTACTCTTTTGTCTACTTGTTTACTTATAAGTCAAAATTAAAATTTTTTGTTGAAATAAACATTTAAGGAAGCGGATTTTCACCGATAGATTTCTCCTACGCGTTGCTGGAAGAGGATCAGTGCCGATTCATCGAGGTGGAGGTAATACATGAGCCTGTATTCACAACTTTCGCATTATCTTATCATTCTAATTCTTTGATCAGCTGCATTTCATTGCGTGGCTTTTCCAGCGGAAAGCAGTAGGCAAAGCTTTGATCGTTTTAAAACGCCGTTGATGTGTATTGAGTCACTTCGTTAGGAATACGGTACTTCAGTAAGACCCCGAACTACAATAAAACTCCTTCATAACTTCCATTAGAGCAGGGCAAATTTTGCAGCTAAACAACAAGTACCTAGCTTCAAGGAACTGTAGCGCGCCCCAAAATTACTTTCAAACGGAATATATGCCAATGAAGATATTTGTATGTCGCTGTAAGGGTATGGCATGTGATGCTAATCTGGAGAAAAAAATTGAGAAACTCGCAGAAGAACATGTTTGTCCAATTCTTTTTGATATTATAACTGCTTCTGCTGCTCCACTCAAGCTACTCATTCTTACTGTTTCTTTTATTAACATTATAAAGGTTATGATAATAATGGCGGACATTATTGTTAATATTTTTCCATTACTGTTGCTATTAATTATTGTTAGTGTTCGTATTTTATAGAGCGTTAAAATATTGTTAGCACTGCCATCAAAATTTCATACCATCTTCAATTTGCTTCTGAGTTCCTCCCAAAACTGGAAAATCTGGCAATCAGAGATACTTTTTTATGTTGTTGTTGTTGCAAAAAATATAATTTGAAAAATTTCTCATTTTTAAAAAAGATTTGAAAATGTGAAAAATGAAAATTTATTTTTTTAAGAAAAATGACTGGAAATATGATTTACAGAATTATGTAATAAAAAATGTCGCCCGATCACTAAGCTGATTCCTCCATCTCAGTCTGCTCATTTTGTGTTAAAAATTTCCAGTTTTAGCCCCTTTCAAATATTACAAGCTGCGTAGAATATGAATCACCAACAATGATTCTAAATGGATCGGAAACTGTATATGTTAAGCATACATCATATTGCTACACCGAAATGCGCTTGGAATTCTGGAAAAACGGTAAACAAATCTTCGATTAAATAAGTATTATGAAAAAGTAGTACGTTGTTTCATTGCAACTACACCTCAAACCTGAGAAATATAATTTTTGTTGAGATAAAAATGTATAAAAAGCGTAGCATAGTAAGCATAACTACCATGGGTCTAACACGAATTGTGCGGACTCCTTGCCAGTCATGATGACAACAAATATGAGGGTTCTTTTTTTCAAATAAGTAATTCTTGATCCACTTGAGCCAGTAGACTAAAATTGATTACGAAGTGAGCAAAATCTTGCGAAGTCCGCTTAGAAATGGAATGTGAACGACAGATTATCCATATCCTCTTTTCTATATCCAATATGTCCAAAAAATATTCCGGTCGAATGAAAGATATCCACTCCAGTCAAGTGTTTTATGTATATTATAAGATCGCTTTCTGCAAGGAATAAAGTAATAGTAGTTTAACTCAAATGCCGGTACCATAGTAATTCCCGTGGAAGGCTTTCGAAAAGAATTTTCCAAGTTAAATATGTATTTAACTTTTAGGTGACGTGAAATACAATGTGAAGGGTGGTGCTGCTACACGAGCAATGGTCGATGAAAATCGCTTATATTTGGATCATATCGCATATGCTGCGTATGACTTGTGAGTTTTATTGTTCTTACAAAAAAGAATTTCACGATTACTTTTTATAAAAATTCGTGTGTTTTAAGTAAATTAAAATTTTTTGTTTTTTAGATGAATTCAAAAAATTTTCCAAAATTTTCAGCTTTCCTCCACGGAGGAGAATTCAGAATTCCTAAAGAGGCATGCTCCTGCAATGAACTGAGGAAAGGAATGTGTTCAAAAAACTGTAAAATATTACAACAGTTGCTAATTGCTTCAGCGCCACGATGAAGATAACTCATTATGAGTCGCTGCTAACTTAACGAATTTGTTAAATAAGCACATTTTTGTAGAGCTGGGCGAGCTGATATGCCAGCATGCATACATTTCCGGGGCGATCCAGAATCCGAAATCAGCAAGTCACGAGCGATCTGTTTTTGTCGCTGGTTCAAGCATCGTTCGGAACCATGCAATGAACAGCAGGAGGAAAGGGCGAAGGCAATGGCATTGCTATTTCACGAGGAAAACTTTCATCGAGTGAGTAATATCACAGTTAAACTGTGAATTCTCGTTGCTATGCAAGTTAGCTCATCAGCTAGAATCTAATTAAACTCGCAGGTCAAACTACCCATATCCGTTGTGCGGATAAATGTGTTTGCACAATAGATGTAATTAGTGCGGGTTACTTCCAATTTCGTGTTACTTTTCATTCTTTTTTCTTTTAGCTTTTTTTATTTTTAGTCCCTGTTCATTATTTTCAGACAGAGATGCTAATTATGACAAATATTAGAAATATATATTAAAAAAATTAGATGAGCGGGAATGTTTTGGTTCATTAAAACACATAACATTCTTACTCAACACTATAACTAGACCCCGTCAACTCTGTGGCTGCGGTCTTACTGAAAATGAATGCATAGAATAAGATAAATTTTTTGGGGAAACAGATTCTGATATTATTAACAGTTAAATGACGCTTCAATTCTGATTTTACTGATAGTTTCTGATACCACTACTTTCGATTTTACTAATATATTAATTGTTGCTAGTATTTGTGTAGTTATTCGATAATTACTACTAACTGTTAATTACAATTAGTAATGAATTTAAATCATCATCAGCATAATTAATTGCTTGCAGCTCCATCTTACTCACAGCAGTGCATTGGAGTTTTTTATGGACAAAATGGAAGATCTGTGGTGTCATTACAGGAGAATGTTTGCGACCATTAAGATCAATTGTAAGCTTCACTAACAAGCTCTTTGCGTGAGAATTATACGCAGCTATTTTAGCATCAAACGTATATTTCTCTTGCAACTGATCATTGTCTACTTGTTACTTTGGAAATTATCAAACAAACGAATCCAATTTTTTATTGAACAGTTTTCCTCACGGCCAGCCCCTGAAGTACATAGATGCATTGTCCCTATGATCGTTCAAAAGTTGTCACCGGTACAGGCAATAAAGCGCTTTCATAGGTGTCCCTTAATGGCTGCTGCTGATCGCATGGTCTTGCACTGGCGACTTATTTATCAAATATCTGTTTACTTCTGTTTTACCAGGTACCTTACATAGGTACAGTAAGTGGGGCCGTTACTGCAGCAAGAATTTTTATTAGTTTTCAGAGCTGAAGAGCATCAGGTTTGATTTCTCAGGCTTTTCAGCACCGCATTTCATTTATATGGCCAAACAATATTTATTTCATCTGCTAGCAGAATCATTTTTCTAATACTTCAGACAAAAGAAGGAAAATGGAATCACGAGGCGGATGTGCCGAGCGAGCGAGAAGTACATTGGACAAATCAATATCCAAAATGAAAGGTATTTGAGTGAATTTTTACGCGTACAAACATTTGCTAGCTTGGACTAATATGAGCCAAAGTTGCACATTAAATCCTCTTTCTGTATATTCCTCTATGAGATGCGGAGGCTCTCGAAAGTATACTGACTAACGGCAAGTAACAAAAATATATTCTGTTTGTGTGATATCAGAACTCTCTGGTTCATCTGACTTGGAGGGTAAATTCTTCCTTCGTCGAGATGTTTTTTGTGAGAAAACATTAAAGACTGTGGCACGATCAAACA